GCTCCACAGTGGCTTCCACGAGGAGAATTGCCGCCACACGAACCGAAACCAGGGTTCCACGAGAAGAAGTTTCTTCTCTACTGTCGGTGGGATTCAGAAGGAATGTTGTACTATGAGCTCCTGCCAACCGGTACCACCGTGACTGCCGTCGTCTACGCTGCTCAACTTCAGAAGTTGGCTGGCGTCATTCAAAAAGAGCGTCCCAAACGTGACAAAGTTCTCCTTCTGCATGACAACGCTTGTCCACATGTTGCGAAGATTACTCGCCAGACAATTTCGGAACTGAGCTGGGAAGTTTTACCCCATCCAGGGTATTCTCTGGACATGGCCCCTTCCGACTATCACTTGTTCCAGGCCCTGAAGAATCACCGGCGGGACAAGGCCATCAATGATCGAGCACAGCTCGAAAATGATGTCAGCCGTTTCTTCGCTTTGCAATCGCCAGAGTTCTGGGCAAAGGGCATCGAGCAGTTACCCGTGCGTTGGGATCATGTCATAGACAACAATGGTCATTACATTGTAGACTGAAATTGCATTTCAATAAAGATATAAAATTTTGACAAATTTGCGCAGTGTTGCAAGACTTTCTTTCCAACCCAATACATGCTTGAGACACTTCGGAAATTCATCAACTACATTTCACAAGTATTCTTCCGGCATTTCATCACATATGCACTTCAAATGTAGCTTGAGTGAAGCAAGACTTGTCCTCAATTTAGGTGTCAGTTGGGACTCCATGCATGACCAGTTACTGTAGTCAAAGCGATTAAGATCAGGGGAAGATGCAGGTCATTCTGATGGTGAGAGGAATGATGGAGTGTTGTTTTGGAGGAAGGTGAGAGTCTTTTTTTTCATTTGTGTGCAGGTGCACTGTCATGGTGGAACACAAAGGGTTTCTTGAACATAGTACAGTACTTTTTCATTTGTGTGCAGGTGCACTGTCATGGTGGAACACAAAGGGTTTCTTGAACATAGTACAGTACTATGTTCAAGAACTCCTGGTCCAAGACTCACTTCAAAAGTAAGTCCTTTGTATTCCAACAAGACAGTGCATCTGCACACAAATAAAAAAAAGACTCTCACCATCCTCCAAAACAACACTTCATCATTCCTCTCACCATCAGAATGACCTGCATCTTCCCCTGATCTTAATCCCTTTGCTTACAGTATCTGGTCATACATGGATTCTCAACTGACGCCTAAATCGAGGACGAGTCTTGCTTCACTCAAGCTACATTTGAAGTGCATATGGGATGAAATGCCTGAAGAACACTTACAAAATGTGGTTGATGAATTTCCAAAGCATCTCAAGTGTGTAGTAGAGGCAAATGGGAGCTATATAGAAACTTTTCTAGTTCATTTTTTTGTGCTATTTTCAATGGTGCAATCCATTTATGGAAAACTAAAGGTCTGATAGAGAAAAACACTTGTTAAACATTGTAAGAACTTTTGATTCATTCTTGCAACACTTTTGGCCTTGAGTAGCATTGCATGTAATTGGGAAACTGCATCTAGAGACTGTGGATGTAAGAGAAGTGATCAACCATAGATCAAAGTGAACATGCACTATGAGTGAGAAATAAGAAGTCTTACATTGCTAGAAAAATTTGCATAGTTCTTTCCAGGCATGCTAAATAGTGCCAAAAAAATCGCAAAATGCCCTTTTAACATTTTGCACAAGGTATATTTACTTGCATTCAAATTTTGTGCCACAAAAATTTCTCAAGTATGTCAAGCAGATGTCCAGGAGGAAATGCATGAGCATATCTTCATGCACTGCCTCCTTATGAACAGCATATTTTGTCCATATATTCAGTACATCTATCCATATATCCTGAGGAATTGCATTGGATGATCTTTTGCTGCCTGAGGTCCCACATGAAAGGAAGCTGACACTACCAATAGGTCAGTGTAGTGTTACCATGAAACGAAGAATGTGTCCATATTACCCCAAATGGAGATGACCATATTCCCCTGTATTGGCATGGATGACAAAATTGACAACATAGCCTGTAAACTGCAAGTGAAGGGGCTAGCACTTTCCACAAGCATTCTGGAAGGACCAAAGAATAGCTCTGAACAAGTCGTTTCTGAATCCATGCTGCTATTAGGAAATACTGTATGCACTTAAATTGCTCAAGGCTCTTATTAGGGATGGGTTATTGACTAGTCAATATGGTCAACTATGGTAAATTTTGGTAAATAGGACCAACTTTTATTTATTTATTTATTTGTAGTTTTTGCACCATTATGTATGTCATGACTCATAATTCATAGACTAAGGATGGAAAGTTGACTGGTCAACATGGTCATTTTAGACCATTTGCAGAAAATAATGGTTATGAGCCCAACAAGAGGTTAGGCCTTACGACTATATGATCATAAATGACCATGTTAAGCAGAAAATAATGGTTATGAGCCCAACAAGAGGTTAGGCCTTACGACTATATGATCATAAATGACCATGTTGACCAGTCAACATCTCATTGCTAAGATAAATTTAATGTTCCAATCATGCAGTCTATAGGGTAAACAGTAATGAAACATGTTTCATAACTAGATTAATTTTTTTAGGCATAGGCATAGGCATAACCCAAGAACATGTCCCTTGATCACAGACTTTGAGAATAATTTGATGCTCTGATGCAGACTATTAGCCAGGACCATGATTGACCTTGCACAAAAATAAAGTTCTAAAGCTGTTACTTAGATCCTGAATCTTAACTTTTAAAGTCCTTGAGTCTATAAAACTTTGAACAGCAAGCGATGCCTGCACACATACTCTGCATCACTCAGGTGAAAGGTCATGGTAGTTTGAGCATTTGCTAAAATGTTTTCATGTGCAACAGGTGACACAGTCTAGGTGTTTGGCAGCCTGCATGAGCAAATCTTAAAGATTGAACTAGCTCTTTGGTTTTAGTGCTGGGGGATAAACGACCACAGTTATGAGCTCTATAAAAATATCTCAATTCACTGAATTAAAAAAATTAGTGGTCAATAATGGTCAATTAAAAGGTGGTCAATTAACCGCCCCATCCCTAGCTCTTATTAATTTCAGGGTCAAAACTTAAAGAATTGCATGCTATGACTTTCAAAACATCAATTTTTTGCATCCACAATTTCAGCATGAACTGAATTAATGAACAGGTCTAAACATTTTGACAAGTGTGTACTCTTTGATACTACTATTTTTTAAATTTGCACAAACTAATTATTCAGCCTGTAAGGAGATTCCATGTGAAGGGTCATACTACCCTATAGTAAGCTTATTGATAATGCTCTTCTGGCAAATTGTTTCAAATTTCTCAAATTTGAGAACAGAATACAAGGGATTCTTTCATACATGAATTTCATGACAAAATATTTTCACATCAATGAAACATGATCTAAGAACTTGTCAGAATTTACTTTGAACAGGAATTATAAGCCAAAATAAATAATATCACACACCTTCATCTGGGTTTTCTGAAGTTATTCGAGCTGCAATCACATGTCCATAAGGCATGGGTTTCCTTGTAGGATTTTCAAAGTCAATGAGAGTGTCAGATGAAGGAGGTTCTCCATATAGAGTTCGGATCCACTTGATTCGATGTAAGGGAACTCCCATTCCTATCTGAAGAGTGCAAAATATAATGGCAAAATACTAAATGAGATAAGAATGGCAATTACAGTTTATGTTTTAACACTTTAGATCAGATGGACACAAATGTATGTCCACTCCAAACTATCATCAGATGATGATGGATGCAATAGTAGCCTATTTTCATGAAAATTTTCACATTTTGAAGTAATTTCCTACTATAAAATTGAGGACTTATACAACAACTTCCAATAAAGAGAAGGTTTTTATCATTTTGCATTCCAAACTTGCAAATTTTTTGTAGACCTCAAAAAACCCCAGTCACATACTCTCTGGGCTGAAAGTGTTAACTAAAGGTCCCAGTCATATCATGAGGAATGAGGGGGAGGCTGCTTTTTTCCATTTCCATCAAAGTAAAAAAAAAAAAAATTCATGGATTTTGATTTACTAGGCATTTCAAGAGTCACTTCCACTGTGTATGTGGCTGTTGTGAGCATATTATTGAAAAAAGAGGTTCCAAACTTGATGGGTATACCAATTTAGCAACAGAGAAGGCAATGCGTATGTTTGAGATGTCTAAGTAGTTTTCATAGATATTCAATGTGGTTCCCATTGATCATGCAACCCAAAAGTCAAACGTCTGCTGGTTTGAGGTCAATAATCATGTTAGTCAGGGTCAAAGTTCAAAGGTTCAGTGTCAAAGTGGTTCAAGAAGTTGGTTGGTCACATGATCTCTGGAAGTGGACCTGAGAACATGTCACTTCATTTGCAATGAGGGGTGGAGTACCATCTTAAAGATTACTTGACCATTTTATTGGCTCAATGGAAACTGCTTCAGTCATGGCAGAGATGGCATTTACACTCATTCGGTATCACTTCAACACATTCCCTGTAACAGTAAACCCAAATGCCATTAATTATGAGAAGTAACCCACCAGTCGGTTGTTCTGCAGGAAACATGTTTATGTCCCATGTGGAAATTCAGTATATGACAAGGTGTATGATTCTATATGGCCATGTATGATCATATCTTTGTAATATACCACCATATATGTATTCATATACAGGGTGTCCCAAAAGTCCCTGTACAACTTTGAAATTAAATTTAAAATTATCCATAAGAGTTAGAACTAATCTGTTTATTGCATCACAAAAGGCATCTCAAAAAATTTTTTCTTACAATATTAGAACATAGAAATGTGCTCTGTGTGTGTTGCATGGAGAACGTCAAGGCGATAACCAATTTCTTGCCATGTTTGCTGTAACAAGTCCACATCAACATTTCTTATGGCATTGTGAATTCTGTACAACTCCTCAATGTTGCTCACTTTTGTGTGATATTGGTCTTTCCAATCCTTTCCAGAAATCCAATGGGATAATGTCTGGTGAATGTGGAGGCCATGAAACTGGACCACCTCTCTTGATCCACCTCTACAGGAAATTTCTGTTGAGACATTCATGCACTGCTGAACTCCAGTGTTGCAACACTGGAGTTTGGCAGTTCCATGACTTCCATGTTCACCAGACATTACCCCATTGGGTGGGTTTCTTCCTGTGGGGTTATATAAAGGACCAAGTATACCATTCAAAAGTGAACAACATAGAGGAGTTGTACAGAATTCGCAATGCTGTAAGGAATGTTGATGTGGACTTGTTACAGCAAACGTGGCAAGAAATTGGTTATCACCTTGACGTTCTCCATGCAACATACGCAGAGCACATTTCTATGTTCTAATATTGTAAGAAAAAAAACTTTTTGAGATGCATTTTATGATGCAATAAACAGATTAGTTCTAACTCTAATGGATAATTTTAAATTTAATTTCAAAGCTGTACAGGGACTTTTGGGACACCCTGTATTATCAATTGCATGGTATATAATATATATTATCTGTAATACAATATCAAAAGTTATGGGCTAATGGCATCATGTCTAACATGTGGTGAATATCCACAGGCAAGTCCTATGGTTGTTAGTGAATGCAGCATGAGGTCAGAGGGCCAGAGGGGGTAGGGCAACCAAGGGGGAGGAGTCCTCAAACCCGATGCAGGTGATATTGGGGGAGAAAAATATTACCTCCAAGGGGGTACCAAGCTCTATCCCAGGGGATGCCAGGAGGGAAGGGGGTGGCATCTGCACTCTCTGCTGCCACTGCATCATGTTTTTACAAGAAGGCCATGACCTTCTGATGCCTCTGCAAGTAATATTTTATTAACCCATTACATTGTACATGAAAAATTACCTATGTATAACCTTTAAAGTAACTTCCCAAAATATTTATTTCAAACCCCTACCCTCCCTAGATAGCAAAAGTGTATTGAGGATGAAAAAAGTGGGGGGGGGGGGAGGGGGGCATGGGAACTCTAGGGGAGCAGTGCATACATTTTTCAGTTCCCTTTTTTCTTCCAAGTATTCAGTTGCATCCCTCTATTCCCCTCCCTCCCCCCTCCACTGGTTCCACTTCATCAGAAACTGACTGAAATGTCAAGGAAATTGGCATGAGAAAGGAAAAACAAATATATGGATTATGTACTCTTTTAGTATGTGGGTATTTATCAAGCATTCTCACCATATGTAGACATGTGTAACTTCATATATGGACAAGATGTGATATGGCATATATGGGGGTAATATATTTTCATTCTTATATGATTTTATGTGACTTGTGTCAAACCCCAAATATGTTTCACACATATGATCATATAGGAATTGTACTATATGTTCACATATGCCCATATATGTTAGACTGGCTAAATATATGACCATTCCATATAATATGAAATTTTCACGTGGAGTCCCATGTTAAAATTCCATGTATGACAGGGTGTATGATTCTATATGGTCATGCATGATCATATATTTGCCATATACCATCATATATGTATTCATATATTAACAATTGTATGGTGTATACTATATTTTACCTGCATTACAATATTAAGTATGATGGGCAAATGGCATCATGTCTGATATGTGATAATTATCCATAGACAAGTCTTATGGTTGTAAGTAAAACACAGCAAGAGGTCAGTGGTGTATTTTGGCTGAAGAGTCAGGGGGGGACAGGGCAGCAGGGTGGGGGCACCAAGCCCTGTCCCAGGGATGCCAGGGGGGGCAGTTGCACCTCCCTGCCCCCTCCCTGGAAAATATGCCACTAAATGAGGTTGTTAGACTTGAGGGCAATTGACCTTCAGATGCCTCTGTAACTAATTTTTAATGCACAAATTATATTTTACATGAAATATTAGCTATGTATACCTTTGAAACAATTTGCCAAAAAAAATTTTATTGTGAATATCCCCCCCCAGCTGAAAATCCTAGTTGGAAAGATCTATAATTTCTAGCTGGACCCCAGCTGGAAATTCAGACCCATTACTTTCCCATACTAGCCAGCTGGGTAGCAGGTGGAAAGTAAAGTCAGATCCAGATTGTTCCTAATTACAATACACTGGTGGAATGAGAATGTTTTGTTGGCTATTCTTACTGGAGGTCCATCTACAGAAGCAGCTGAATTTCAACTGTAAATTCAGCTGTATTCCAACTAGGGATGGGGCAGTCAATTGACTGGTCAATTGACCACCTCTTTTAATCAATCATTATTGGCCACTAATTTTTTTTAATTCAGTGAATTAAGATATTTTTATAGAGCTCATAACTGTGGTCATTTATCCACCAGCACTAAAACCAAAGAGGCCAGTTCAATCTTTAAGATTTTTTCATGCAGCCTGCCAAACATCTAGACTGTGGCACCTGTTGCACATGAAAACATTTTAGCAAATGCTCAAACTACCATGACCTTTCACCTGAGTGATGCAGAGTACAGGGTGACCGGAAAGTTCGGAGACACTAAAAAAAACCAATATCCCAATGCCATGAAGAACAATAATTTTTTTTTAATTTCATAAGAAAGAACATAAGAAAACCTTCAAAATGAGTTAAACATCTTCGAAATAGCCCCCATTGGCAGCAATAACTTTTCTGAGGCGTTCCTCCTTTTATATTGCCAAATAATTTGGACTTAACTACTCTGGGTAGAGTTAAACATCTTCGAAATAGCCCCCATTGGCAGCAATAACTTTTCTGAGGCGTTTTGGAAAATTGTCCACAGTTTCTCGCAGCTGTTTCACAGGGATTTCGTCCCATGCTTTCAGCAAAGTTGACTTGAGGCTCTCCAAATTTTTTGGCTGAGTAGCACAGGCCTTTGCCTCCATAAAGGACCAGATACTATAGTCCATCGGATTTAAATCAGGGGAGCAGGAGGGCCAAGCTTCTAGACCAATAAAATCTGGCAACTTGTGCACGCACCACTCTTTTGTCCACTGGCTGGTGTGAGCTGGGGCATTGTCTTGTTGAAATGTCCAGGAAGAATCCCCAAAATGATCCCTTGCCCAAGGATAGAGAACCTTCTTCAGAACTTCATTTTGATTGTAATTGGCATCGATTTTGATGTTACGAGCCACAAAATGCAAGGGTGTTTTACCGTTGGCTGTAATGCCACCCCAGACCATGCCAGACTGGGGTTTTTGCATTCTTTGCACAAACCGAGATTCTGACAAGACTCTGGACCCTTTTCTGGCCCAGACACGATCATTTTGGGGATTAAACACTTGCTGAACTGTAAAAACTTTTTAATCTGAGAACACGATCCGACGGTGTGAGTTTCGCTCGAATCTCGCCAGTAGTTTCCTTGATTTTTGCTTCCGCAATTCCTTGTTGTTCTTCGTAAGCACCTGAACTACTCTTTTTTGAAAGGGAAAATGCCCAACTTCTTTCTAAGATAGGAGCGCAGAGTTTTGCGTTTAATCTTCAAGTGCTTTGCAAGACTTCGGCACTTCCGTTCCGGCTTTCGAAGAGCAGGATCCTTGAAGACACTGGGACAGCCACTTCTGGGTCGATCCTGAGTTGTACCAAGTTTCTTGTAGTGGGCAATGGCTTTGTACACAGTGGATCGTGGCAGTTTCAGCTCCTTGATCTCTGCAAGTGAATGACCTTGCTGAAACATGTAAATCACAGCTTCTCGGCTGGGTTTCGATGCCATATCTGCACCGGCAGGAGTCATATTTGCGATGCAAAAAGATCAAGCCTAGAGCTAGACTCGTGGAAGAAATGAAGCCTCACACTTGAAAAAAATCTTTAAAATTTTACAAGTCTCCGAACTTTCTGGTCACCCTGTATGTGTGCAGGCATAGCTAGCTGTTCAAAGTTTTATAGACTCATGTACTTTCAAAGTTAAGGTTCAGGATCTAAGTAACAGCTTTAGAACTTTATTTTTGTGCAAGGTCAATCATGGTCCTGGCTAATAGTCTGCATCAGAGCATCAAATTATTCTCAAAGTCTGTGATCAAGGGACAAGTACTTGGGTTATGCTTATGCCTAAAAAAATTAATCTAGCTATGAAAAACTACCTTGAGCTAGGCAACTGCTTTTTCTGATGGACAAAGTTGGCCTATGTTTTAAAAGTGACATCTTATTGGTGCTCTGCTTAAACCTAGAACCGTATGGTAATCCTTGGCTTTAGTTCAATTAGCCCAATTTGGCCTGTTGAGACTGTGGTCTGGGCTTCAATAACTTTATGGTTATCATTCCTCCACTGGGAAATTATACTGTTATTTGTGTCATAGTGTACAAGTGTTCATGAATTTGTCCAATATTAGATTGCGAGGTGTAGGCTTAAAAAAACAGCAGAAATGAAGCCACAGGGAACTGTTTGGAAATTTTATCAGAAGAAAGGAAGTCGCTATAAAGCCACTGCGATATGCAAATTCTGTGGATCCAAGTATGTTGCACATTCAGAGAGAATGCAGAAGCACATTCTGAAGTCGTGTGTGTCAGCACCCATTAGTGCAAAGGAGATCCTATCAGCACAACTAGCTCCTGTTTTTGCACCTGATAAAAAACCTCTGGTACAAAAGCCAATCACTCAATCAGAAGGAATGCCTTCAATGGAGTCAGCAAGTGTCCATGATTCATCATGTTCTGTATCCAGCCACAGTGGAATTATGCATCCCACTGCTTTATCTTCCCTAACCATATCTGGAAGTAGCAACTACCATCAGGCCTTGCTAAAAAACTTTCTGGATGCTGTCACCTCTGATGAAAATAAGCTTCTCAATGAACTGCTTGCTAGGGCAATCTATGCAAGCAATTGCCCTTTTTCCTTGGTGGAGAATGAGCATTGGGTGAAGTTTTTCAAGCGAATGCAACCATCATTCTCCATACCATCTTGCAAATCAGTACATGTTTTTTATTATTAAAATTATGCAATTACCCTTCCAATAATCATTCACTGGCAGCTCCAACTTTTTATAGTAAACACTTCAGTTTGCATTGACTTTCATCACTCTATGCCTTGTAAAAAGAACTACTTATACTAGTACTGGTGCCCATGTTCCAGTTTGTGATATTCTGTGGCAAGCTAAATTTGTACATGAGACTTCATAGCCTTACTTTTTTTGTTCAGTCAGAGGAATGAAAGAATACTGGAATACTGAAAATGCTGAAATATCCAATATACAGATGGGCACAACTCTTCTCTACACTGAGTTTGATTGAGTGAAGGCTCAAGTTCTGGAGAAAGTGACAGAGTCATCACTTGTAGCTTTGACATCTGATGGCTGGAGCAGCCTCAGACAGCAGTCCATCATCAACATCATGGTCACGTGCCCTGAGCCAGTTTTTTTTCAGTTTCATTAAATCTGGTGAAGAGAGTCACACTACTGGGTACAATGCTGAGAAATTGGCCAATGTGATCATTGAGCTTGGTGAGTTCAAGTAAATAAGAGATGAACAAACTTCACAAATTGCATTATCAGTTTATAACAGCTGATCCTATGGTCTTCTTGGCAGCATGACACTTTGACATCAAAACTAAGCATTACATTTGTCTTCTGTTGGCCATTTCAGGTGAGGCCAAGGTGGTAGCAGTGGTTACTGACAATGCTGCTAGCATGAAAGCTGCATGGAATCTGCTGCAATAAATGTTTCGGAAGTTAATCACATATGGATGTGCAGCTCATCTTCTCCACTTACTGAGTAAAGACATTGAAAATATCTGCACCATTACTGATCATGTCACAAGATGCAAGAGAATAGCAAAATTCTTCAAGTACAAGCATGTTCCAGCAGCTATTTTACGTCATAAACAAGAAGAAACAAGAGGA